GGGGGAAAACCACCACCAAAAAATGAGGCAAGTACATGCTATCATCCTAACAAACTGTTCTTGGATAATTAAAGTGGCTGAGTTATCAAAAAGACACCTCTACCCCATTGTCCTTAGAGAACATGGCAGTCATTTAAATTATCTTAGCGGAGCAAAAATGAAAAGGAATTCTTTATTCCATGTTGCAATCSTTCTTTTGGTCTTGTTAATGCTAAGAGATCCCCTAATAAATAAAAGCAGACAAAGCAATGGCTACTGTTGTGCTAGCAGTTCATATACCTGCTCAATAGCTCTTTCAAAAGCCTTTGTTCACCTATTGAAAAGTTCTGGTCGGTATATTCAATATTGATAAATTAATAGATAAAACCCAAGAGATATGACTGTTCCAAGACCTGTCATTCTCTGCGTGAAAACCAAAAGCAACAGAGCTCAAAGCAGATGCACGGGGTTTTTAAGCTTACATGGCAGTCACGTGTTTCAGGAACCAACACTCTGCTCAGACAAGTGCTGGTTACAGAGTAGTCTCATGTGCTTAATACTGAGAAAATACACCACAAAAGACAAGGCTATGGGCAGTTTTCAGTAGAACACGTATGTCACAGAAAATACTAAGATGCCTCACCTGCAAAGCTTTTAAACATATGTGGAAGTCAATGAAGCTGAAGCTTATGCCCGTTTTCAATTTAACTTATGGGCAGCACTATGCTAATGTGGACCATTTGGCACTAAGCTGTTCATGTCTCAGTTTTGAATTTCCTGCTACTCTTTCACAATGGATCTTCTTATTACTCAAATGATGAGAAGCAGAAAACCTCTTTCCATCCTTTGTCTCATTCCCCGTTGTTAAAATCAATTGTTTTTCTCTGTTGATTTCCCTTTATTCGCCTAAGCTCCAATTGAAAAAGGCAACTTGATGGATGAGGTACCAAAGTAAAACTGAGTTTAATCTGTCCTATGACAAGTTGTGCAGAGGACTCACCTCAGCCCGTGGAGCTGCTGTGCGGTCAAAAATAGGCACATGGTCTGAAATGCTTTTACTGAAGAGAAATGAAGACAACAGGCGGGTAAACAGATCTTTCTAAGTCATTAAAAATGCTACACAACCAGCAGTGCAGTGTCTATGTTTTTGCTATTTAAGGGGCATATAAGCCATAGATCACTTGGAGAAGCTGCATGAGAATCTGTGTGCAGCACTGAAGTAAACAAATATGGATGCAACAACACTGCCCTAGTTCTCTCACTTTCAGTGCACAGCAGCAGCAATCTGATAGTGTCTGCTGCTGAGAACAGATGGAATTTTCAATACAGTCAGAATTCTGGACCTCTCTTCCACAGCACTGCTCAGCCCCCCTACTCTGCCTTCTGGGCATCTCTGTTTCAAGCATTTATGGCAGTTCCAACTCTGCCATCATACACACATGCAGTTTTTGCAGAAAAGTGAGTCCATCTTTGCAATGCTGAAAGGAGAATTAATTTATCGGAAGGGTAATGAAATATGACGTCTACTTAGCAGTTCTCCAAAGGGGTGTCAATGCTGCTATGTAGGACAGGCCTCTGCTTAGACAAAGGACAGGAACAAATTAAGTATTCAGTTTCATTTAGTGTTTGAACCAGATCTCGCTGAATTCAGTGCCAAAACTCACGTTGACTTCAGTGGTGCAAATCTGTGTCCTTAAGCTCTGCCTGTATATTCTGCACATTAGAATATGGATTTCCATTAAAGAAATATAAGCAGGTAGAGCAGGACAATATTTTTAAAAAGCAAGGTATCCTCTCATTTTTGAATTTTCCATTAATGCAAGTACCACATTCACTTTAAAATTCTGAGATTACTGAAGACAAGAAATACTCTGTGTTCACTCTGCCACAAAGACCCTCATATGAGGAATTCATGGATTCACTTGGGGAACAGAGTGGTCATCCTCATTTCCCTCTCCCCCTGAAACTGGACAGCATCTCTTACATCAAGCAATGCTGAAAAAAACATGTCCATCACTTACACTCGGCGTGTCCGTGGGCGAAGCCGTCTCAGCCTGTGAGGCACCTGCTCACCATCAAAGGTTGAGTGGTAGAAGAACAGTCGTACATCCTCATCCATCAACACCCAAGCAGGGAGGCAGAGAAGGTTCTGTGCCAAGAGCAAGCAGGAAGCAGGGTGTAACAGTGGGAGAGACTAATTCTCTCTTTATTTACATGCAACAAATATGCCTCTCTGACTTACAAAATCATGAAGGATATTCATTACTGCCAGAAACCTCCCTCCTCTCCCTTCTCACTCAGCAGGACAGACCTGAACAGCTGACAGTTTCCCCTCTTTTGCTCTTTTTGTACCTGATTTACTGCAGGAGTAAATTGCTTTTTGTGTTTCACTTCAGAACATGAATGACTGCAGAAAGAAGGCAATCAACTAGTGGAAGTCTTGGCCAGTGCTTCAGACTTTTACTGATTTAAAGTCAGGTCTTCTGTTAACCTGCACAAAGGAATTTTTATCCTTGATGTACGCTGCATCTTCACAGTAATTCAGGTGCACTCAGAGGCCCACCTGTCCTGATTCTGTCTGTGAGAGAGGCAATTTTCTCCTTAGCAGCTGCTACMGTGCTGTGTGTTGAAATTAGCATGAGAGTAATGTTGATAACACCCCGATGTTTTAGTTTCTAACTAGTGGCTTACTTAGTCTAAGCCAAGAACTTTTCTGTTTTCCATGTTCTGCCAGTGAGGAGCTGCACAGGAATCCAGAAGGGAGCATGGCCAGGACAGCTGGTCCAAACTAGCCAAAGGAATATTCCATGCTCTAGAACATCATGCCCACTATGTAAACTGGAGGGAGCTGGCTAGGAGCCAATGATCACTGCTCAGTGGTCTGSCTGGGTATTGGTCAGCAGGTGATGAGCAATTGTGCATAATTTGCTTTCTTTTTTAGTTTTATTTCTCTCTGTCTTTTTTGTTCTCTCTCCTCTAATTGCAGCTATTAGTATTAGTATCATATTTTACTTTATTTCAATTATTGAATTGTTCTTAACCCAATCCATGGGTTTTACCTTTTCCCAATTGTCTTCCCTGTTCCATTAGGGAAGGAGGGAGTGAGCAAGAGGAGGCATGGCACTTAGAGGGTGAGTGATGTTAAAGCAAAACTCACTCACCATTCTCCTAGTCCCTCAGGTGCCCACATCAGATCTGTATTCATGCAACACCTGAACATTCACCATTTCCTCACACACCTTGGGGGCTTTTGATAAGATAACTGCATAGGAAGGCAGAGAGTGAGCCTTTGTGAGCTGCATACTTGGGCAGGCCCTACAATGTGAACAGTCTGGGGAAGAGGACTGCAGGCTGTACCACAGTGTGGGCGCTGTCCTCAGCAATGCAGAGAGAAGCAGACACTTAGGACTYTAATAGCACTGTCTGTCTTAGCAGATTTCAACAAGTATCTGCAGTGCTCAGTGGATTCTTTATCTTAAATCTAAGTTTTACCTTCATGTAGACATTCAGGATAGGAATCCTGCTCTCAGCAATTTCCCTTTTGGCACCCACAAAAACTTTCCCTGGAAAATATAAAACCTGTGACAGTTATTGAAGGAGAAAATAAAAGGAAGCTGACAGAGAAATGAAGCAATCAGGAGAAAGTAGAATGTCAAAAGAAACCCCCATATTTTCTAAAGGATTTTAGATTTCTAAATGAACTTTACCACAAGTGAYGGGACTGTCAATGAAACACAACTCTTCTGGCACCCATAGCTGGGAATTATTTCCTTGTCACAACTACTTCTCTCAATGTATTCCTCTTTAGGACAGRCTGGAGCTAAAAAAGCTGCTAATTATGCAAAGATTTGGTACTGACRGCTCACCTGGCAACACAGGGAGTGTGCAGGTAAATGGGCTGTTATTACTCTCTGGCCCATATCTCTCCTCTAGTTTGGTGTGCAGGGCATAGAATTCACGATAACGACGGAAAATCAGGTATCTGCCACCACCTTTAAGCTTTACTTCAATCACAAACATCTGAAACAGAGAGGAGGAATTCAGCCTGATGTTCATACTTAGAAATACTTAGCAAATGAATATGTGGAATAAAATAGGAACATAAGATCAGTGCTCCATTAGYGGTAATATTCTCCTAAGGGCAGAGAGGAAAGCAAGCCTTCAGTTAAGCATCTGCAACCTCAAGAACTAGGAAATAACAAGTTAGCACCAGTGTGGTATTTGTGTGGGTCCAGCTTTCACATGAAACATGTCCCCGTGGCTGCTTTCTTTTATATAATCTTAAAAGGAAACAAGAAATGACTAGATTAGACTTTATACACCTTCCCTCAGYGATGAACAAAACACATTAGGGAGATAAAGACAAATATTTTACATTAAGATGCCTTCAACATGGAAATCTAGAGAYAGACATCTAAATGAATTGATTTTCAGAATTGAAGGCATTCCGACTTCTTTTTGACTTTAAGGTACATAATTTCACAAATTATGGTCCAACCTCCTTCAGCCACTGTTTTATTTATCTTTAGACAAAATTGTTTTGACATAAAGGAACCCATATTTTCCATGCACTGACCTCTGAGTCACATTGTAGATAGATCCTTCAGAAAACATAAAGACAGAGCAACCAAACTATTTATGCTATTCCAGAGTAAAACGTAACCACTGCAGTGGTAAGGTTTTATGAGCAATGTCGCCAGCAGAAGTCAGACTGAGCTGGTCATATTCAGAACCTTCAGAAAATCTTAGTGTCTTTCCTCACTATTCCCTTCCTTCGTGCTCTTTCTTGTTTTAATGTGCTACCTCCTGTGAAGATGAGAGCATCCCAACATGCCTTTACCATGTAGTAATGAAGAAAAACTCTGCTATTCTATCCTCTGAATTACTTTCCCACCATCTTCACCAAAGACACAGCACTCCAACAGGAAAAAAATCAGATGTTAGGAAAGAATTGTGATGTTAGAGGGTATCTCTCACATTTCATTCAGAAAATTAATTTTAAGACTAAATCTCTAATAACAATCCTCCATTCCAGAAAAAACAAAAGCACTGAGAAGTCTTCCACATGGAACTACCCATGGCAAAAAGCAGTTGCACAAGATTAACTGCATTTTGTTTCCCACAACCAAACCGGTCACAGATGAAGGCCTATAGAGACAGGATAAATCTCCCTTCTTACATAGTAATTAGTAAAGCCTTTCTTCTCTTCAATATCTGCAATGTTAGCTGAAACAGGTACATCATCTGGAAGCTGGTCAAAATCACTGTGAAGCAAGAACAGAAAATTTAGGTTACTCRTACTGGTATCAGCCTTTGAGGTATCTATGCCATACAGAGCATAAGTAGGCATTATCACATTTTCTAGTATAAAAATCAAGAAGTTAGAATCTTGTGGTGTCATTCTTTTCCTCTGGGTGTCTAATATTGAGTTGCCAAAATTTAATAAATTCAGCACAAGGCAGTGACCATTGTGAAGATTTATCATGCCTGAAAAATCCCCCTATCATTCCTAGGCTTGCTTGAGGAACAGGACTACAAAACAAACACCTGAACTGCTAAGCTTTTACCRAGAAATGTGATCAGCTGTGGATGCATTCTTAATTTTTCTTTAATCTAGAAGATTTACAGTAAGAGCTTAGTAACAGTAAATCTTATTCTAGGGAGATCATTTTATATCATGATTTATGCTGCTATTTTTATTGTATTAATATAGGGAATAGGAAACAGTTCTGAGAAAAGAGCTTGTAATGCTAGGTGCTGTAGAAATTGGCAGCGCAAAGTAAAATCCTAAAAACTTTGTACTCTGTGCAAGAGGCATAAAATGTATCACACACACATAAGAAAAGAAACAACAGTCTAAGAACAAACAGAAAAAGAACGAGGAAAAATACCATGGTATTTCTCTATAGCAAAACCAATGGTGCCTACACCACTAGTCAAAATGTTGTCAAGTTTCTTGTAAACATCACAATAAAGCAAGATCTCAAAGAGGCTTTGAAAAAATAATGAGGAGGCTGGCAAATATTTAGAGGGAGACCTCCCAGACACAGCAGTTAAGATTCAACACAGAATCACAGAATATTTGGAGCTGGAAGGGACCCACAAAGATCATCGAGTCCCACTCTTAAGTGAATGGCCTGCACAGGGATAGAACCTGCTCCCTTGGCACTAATTTCCCAGTCTCAGCAGACAGCCTGAAGCAAGCACAAAGATGCATTTTGAAAATGTCAAAAATGTGTGAAGGAACACATGGTAGTAGGAAAAGTTRTAATAAGTTTTGCAGATCCTAGAAAGGATTGGATTTGAAGTGAGAAGGAAGGATCTCTGCAGGAGCACATAAAGAGCAGCCATATGACCTCGCAGTCATGTTTCCTGTCTTTATTGTCCGCACAAAAAATTGGCATGGATTGGCAGGTGCTTTTTCCTCTGTGACCTCCTTGCTGCAACAGCTTTGACAAGCAGCAGACAAATTCACCTTTGCTTCAATCTCATGACTCAATGTTGTTAGAGGGGTATTTATCTTAACACCTGAGTAAAAAGCATCAAGAATGAGGAAACAAAGATAACAAATGAGATAAAGAGAAACTTTTAAAAGGATCATCTAAGAAATGCCAAGCTGACATAATGTTAAGTATTCTGATAATACAAAAAAAAAGTGGCAGTTGTCTGAGTTTATTCTGCTAGGAAAATATGCCGAGCCGGAGTTTCCACAAGGTATAGCCCATTTGAAAGGCTGAAGTAATGATGCAATGCCTTGCAATGGTTTGCTGTATGAGGAGAATTTTCCATGAATCAGCACCACCCACCGTACTGTAAATACTGCCCCTTACTGTGMAGAGGGATGTGGTTATGGAGATCTAGAGATATAATTAGTCACATCACAAACACTCACATCATACACTTCAGTAAGAGGGAAACCATTCTGCAGCTGTAAAGGGGACAATGACCCACTGTGTCCTAAGTGGTGAATATTCCCCACAAAAAGAAGAAAGTCCGCTCCAGCATAAGAAATGGTCTGCTTCACCCTGGGCAGCCTAATAGTGTGGAAGTTACAGTAACAAGAAGCCTTTTAGAATCACCAAAGATGCTTACATCCAAATTAAACAAACAGATCACAGCAGTTACATGAGGCTTGTGGGGAGGCAGGAACAGGGACAGACACATTACCTCTTTTCTCGCAGCTGCTGGGGAAGAGACATGGTTTTCAGCTTCTTAAATCCTGATGACTGRGATCTATTCCTCTAACTCTTGGACAGTTCCTGGTTGAACAGGATGAACACAAAGTCAAAGTAATTCTCTCTCTGTGAAATACGTCTCCTTTGCAAGGCCTTAGAGACCTTTTTTTAATGTTTCAGTGTCAGACGATTTCTGCTGTACCTTCCCACCCCCACCAGTATGAGGAAGTACYAGAGAAAAAACAGTAATAAAGAAAGGCTGTTCTGTGGTGTCTGTCATGTCTCAAAACTGCCACAGTTGAGAAACTGAAAGCCCAAGAAAAAGCAGAAACTATGAGCCCCATATTCTATTGCCCACCCTCCACCAAAAAATTTGCATCTGCTGAAAGCCGGTATGAGTGGGYTTAGCAAAGTTTGCTTTACCTCAGCCTAAATGCCCTCATATGTACCTCTACATCAATATTTGTAAATTAGGATGAATTCTTCTGATCCCTTCTTGAGGCTCTGTGATTCCCAAGAATCCTCCTTTTCACAGACCAAGAGCCAGGAGGTGGAGCTAAAGAATAAATTTTAAAATGGGAGCAGAAAGAAATCATGAGAAAATTCAACCTTGTCAAACACCAGGGCATTGGGCACAGGAGATGAGCTCTGAAGGATGGATCAATGAAAGTAAAACAAGGGTCCTTTAGAGACCAGAGACCTTTTAGGCTTCATGTGCTCAAAACAACCCATATTTGCCACCTACAAAGACAAGGTAATGGCTCAGCCTGGCTTGTACTCAAATTGTAGTGACAAAGCATATATACATAACATCAGCTGACAATCTTTCAAGAAGAAAATAAAAGGAAGAAAGTGACGAGGAAACCCTGATTTCYTAACAATGTGGCTAAGTTACAGCACAGCTTATCTTCCTTGGTCAAAAGCTGTTATGTGTACCCCTGCCTCTCCATTTCAGTCTTTGASTCTCTTCCATTTTTGTGTTCAATACATATTTGCTTCCTTCTCCTCCTTCCGCTGCCAAGAACAAAAATTCCCATCTGAATGGAGCAAAAATCAACCAGCATTCTTCAAAATAAAACTCTATTTTCAACTGCAATCATCAGCCTTGAGAGTAACTGCATTGCATTGCATTTTAATGAAGTAAATCCTTCATCCATCTCCTTTCCATGGATAACTCAAGGCACCATGACAGAATTTGAGATGGGATGTAGTGTCTCTTGATCAGAAGGGATTTGGAGAACCTACAAAATTCTTAATTGTATTTTCTGAGTGATCAGCTACTCTGTTACATATCATAGCTTTAACAAGAAAATCATAAAAAGGGCCTTCTAATAGTTTCAAATGTCTTGAAAGATAATCTAGATATAATGCAGGTACATAATTTAATAATGCAAAAATACTTGCTCATCATTTATCTAGGGACTTGGCTTTTTGAAAACAAGTCAACAGACAGCTCTCAGACAAATTGTCTATGCAACTGCTTTGCTGTAAGATGAGTAAAACAAACTGAAAGCAGCACAATTCCAGTACTCCCTACTAGACATTACAGCTAGTAAAAATACTAGCCCGATAGACTAATGCTAAACCTATTCAGAAAGTTTGCGATTCTGTGGTATTTTCTTGTTCTGAACTCAACCAGAAACAAGACTTTACTTTTCTGACAAAAAGCAGATTTCTACCTCAGAAGAGTGGATAGCTGATCGGTTAAAGGGATCACCAAGGCAGTGAGACTGGAAACACTGCCTGGCCATGTTCTTCTGAGCCAAATCAGTGCTTTGACTACCATGAGTTTTCTTTCTATTTCTACTACTGTGCTAATACAGTATAAATAATTTCTAATATTTGGGCTGAGAAAACAGGCTGTGTCTAGTCAAATGCACATTCCTTCTCTGTTCAAGTAATTATTTTATGAATGAAATAAATGTCCATTACAAAACTGATACCCAAATGACTGTAACCATGTCAAAAGATCTGCCTGCACTGGTAAAGTATYGAATTTCATCAGCTGATGTGGCCAGCTCTCAGTTTTGAGAAAACCTATCCATACATTGTAGCTGGCATGATCATTGTAGTGCTATGCACTGACCCCAATACATGTACAAAAGGAAACAGGAATCCATCCAAGTGCAAGGAACACAAAACAAAAATTAGTTCATTAAAGCAGACTGCTAAGAGAATCCTCAGATGACTGAATCACCACCATATGCTGCCACCAATGCATGCCCCTTCACAGTTCACAACCTACTCTATTATTTTGGACATGCCTGTGAGCTGTGAAACCGTAGCCTTCTGTCCAATGCACCTGTTGTTACAAAACACATGTACAAGGATATGTAACACCCTGGAAATCTTAGAGTATCAGCTAGAACCAAACAACTGAAGCAAGTGAGGAATTTTAATGAAAAATATGAATGTAGTCCCAAATCACTAAAGATATATGAAGCACTAATAAAAGGTAAACAAAAAAAATACAGCAGAAATAGTCAGCTGAATCAAGCTTGGATGACAGCACGACACACTATGTCTACTAGGGCAACAGTTATTGTACCATTTTGCTTGTCTCTATAGAATAATGGCTTCTCTCTGATGCACCTGATGTAAGAAAAGTGCTGTGCAGTTATACTCAATCCCCAGCCATAGAACAAATCTGTTAAGTGGTAGGATAAACTGAACAAGAATAATATTCTTAAAAGATGTCTGATCTCATCACAGATTAATCTGCAAAGGAAATAACATTTAACCATTACTGCAAGAAAGCTGAACATCAAATAGAAACACATACAGCAGAGTTGGCTTGCAAGATACTTTCATTCAACCTATTATTTTCAAAGGTTATGTGGAATATTTGCTTCTGTAGCACACATACAATTGGGTAGCACAGAGCAGCTGGGTGCCTTGACCCCTGTGGTTGCTTGCGACTGAGCTGCAACTGTAACAACACTGATCTGGGAAGTGTTTGGGGATCTATTCCATTTCCCTTTAATAATACTTGTACAGATATTTTTCTTCTGTGGTTACCATCAGCTTTACAGGATGTTTTAATAGACTGTTACAATATTTATTTTCAAATACATCCAWGTTTAAACTAATTATTATTTTTATTATAGCACATGAATAATTATTTACAGATCTGTAAAAATTTTGGGCAAAAGTTACATTAGGTAAGCTATTCATGTCTGTCCTGCAAACTTCAAAGCTCTTTTGCAGGTAGTGCTACCAAATCCTTAGGAGTCAGTTGGCACAAGGGTAAGAATATCTTGTTTCTTTCCTGTATGCTTTCAGGACAATTAAAAATAAAATCATAAAAAAAAAAAAAAAAAAAAAAAAAAAAAAAAAAAAAGTGATGAAGTTGTCCTATCTTTCTGAACTTCTTGAAAAAAAAACCCCAAAGAGGGCATAAGTTGAGAATTGAGCTAATTGGTTTTGTAATCTTCATTTGATAATGGCTCAATTCATAATGTCTGAATGCATGGATACTGTGCCTGTGAAGTATTGTGTTGGGATTAAAAAAGCCACAGGAGTGATAGAATCATAGGATTGATAGAATTTGAAAACATGCTTTGAATCAAATCTGGACACAGTTTCCATGATAGCTTTTTTAGGGTGAAAAGTAGCTAGTAGGCATTTGCAGAAAAAGACTCTTTTCATGCCCTGCTGATATAAACACARCTAAATAATCCATCTTGGACTGAAGAAATTTAAAGGTCAGCATCTACCACTGTTCCTGACAGTGAATTTAATGGTGTCATTTCCAGAATAAATTATTACTCAACATGGTAGAGGTTTACAAAACCAAATGTTAAAGAAAGAGCACCATTTGTTTAAAGTGACCTTCTCAGAACATCAAACTAAATCATATACCTGAATCTCGGCTTTTTCACCCCTATTGCTTGAGCAAAAGAAGGAATAAATATTGCAGGGGGGGGAAAAAACCCACCCCAAAAAGTGAGGTTTTTTTTTCTTTTGACATTATCAGCTATTTTGGAAATATGCAATCAACAGTGCCATTCTGAGATTTGATAGTTCATGATTCAATAGGCAGATCTTGCCACTTTTCTTATGCAGAGAAATATCACAAGCAGCATTATGATCTTCCTCTCTGTGGAAAACAATTCTTCTTTTAAAATTAACCTGCTTCCTTTAAAAATCTTCTTAATATATACAGGATTTTTTCCTGATAAAGTAGAATCACTTAGACTGGAAAAATTAGAAGAAATTTCTCCCTCATAAGCAGTGGGGCTTTTTGTTCTTGCAGAGCTCAGATGGGTATTGATGCCCAGAACTAGGGGCAGATAAATGAAAGCTCAGAAACAGCAAGAGAACATTTCTTCATCCAGATCACATATCACTTCCAGGATAAAAGAGGCAAATAAGGAAGAAATAGGGCAGAGCTTGTCACTGCTATTGTGCATGACAGAGGTGGGCTGGAGGTGGAACCCTGCGCTCCAGTCAGCCTCTCCAATATTAAAATCTGGTAGCTGGTCATTGCAGACAAAGAATCAGAGAAGTTCCATTCAAGAACTCCTCAGAGAGCTGTGCCTACAACCACAACCACCCCTCCAGAACTTTTAAACATACTTTGAGTGTACAGGAGTCACGCACCATGTGGCAGGAAGGTCTTGGTGTTTTAAGTGCCCTGATCATCTTGAGAATCAAGAATGTGTCAGAGTTATTGCTACCAAGACAAAGAAAATTATGCTTCATGTATGTCACAAATTCAAAAGGCCTGTAAAAATTACTCAAAAAAATTTCACTGAACATCCTCAAATGGGAAAACAGGGTTGGAATTTGCTAAAATTTGTTCAGTGATGCATTCCAATCAGCCTACCACTGTTCCTGACAGTTTAATTTCCTMAACCATTTGAAGAAATCCTGTGACCAAATTCCTTTTACTTTATTTAGAAATTTGGATAAATGCCTTTAGCTAAGTGAAGTTTTCTGAACAGTGAAGAGAGACAGGCACCGCTGGCCAGTAAGACCTCAAGTGGGCCAATTCTCCCTATGAAGGTTTTATCTSTCTCCTAGGAAAATACATGAATTATGAAATGGCTATATTCCCAGTTTTGTCACCTCAGGTTTCTAAAGGTAAGGAAATAAATCTGTCCCWTACTGTGGACCTAGTTATCACTCGTACTTCTCTTTCGGGACTCAGTTATATTTGGATATGCACTTTTACACTGGTATAATTGTCTTTACCCTAGGGGA